CTTTCCGTTCAGGGTGTTCGCTCATCCCTAAAAAGTTTTAAAATTCATGTTTCTAAAGTTAAGGTCTTAATCAATATGTCTTGTAGTGATTAGAAAAGTTTTCAATTGATTTTAATCAATCAGTCAATTACGTGTTTTGTATCATATTTCAACAACAAGGCTTTACGTTATAAAAACACAAGAGTAAGAGGTCAGAACCCCTGCTGGTGGTACTCGGACGGTCTGAAAGTGTGTCAAACTAGCTGAAGACCGAAAGAGACTTTTTCATTTGACCCTTTAATAGTCCATTTCAGGCATCATCTCAGGACAGAAACTTTATTTTTAAGTTAGCGGTACCAATGCTGAGTCTGCAGAATCGCTCCCACCGGCTCGGCAGTGATTTCTTCAAATCATCCTTCCCTGTGGTTTTATTAGGATTGATGGCCCCCAGAGGCCCACTTTAGTGCCACGCGGGTGTCATAACAGTGTAAAAACCAGTTACATACGTAAACTTACAATGCACACAAAGCTATATATGTAGTCGGACGGGCCCCTGTGACGATAAAAGCAGATGTTCGTGTTTGGCTGTCAGTCCTGTTGATCTGAAAACCCCCCCGTCCCGTTGAGCAGGGGGGGGTCCGTCCCCCCTTCCTGCTCAAAAGCATTTTGAAAACAACTTTCATGCCGGCTTTTAATAGGAGGTGATGAGTTTATGATTTAGAGCGGAGTCCTCTGAGAGCCCATGTCTGGGTTTTTGGGCTGTATGAGAGGGTTGGGGTCTTCAATCAAAACTTCACCGCAAGTAATTGTGTCTGTTTTATGTGTCGCTATGTTTAAAGACAAGAGTCACGTCCCGGCACCCATGTGTGGCAGTTTTCAAGGTGACCTAGGAGAGGAATGCATGAGGAAAATTTCGACCCTGTCACTAGAAAATCTGAGTTACCGAACAGGGCCGGCATTGGATTTTAATTCGGGGGCCCCTCATACCAACATGGCAACACCAGATAATTCATTGTTCCTGAGCTAAATTACACATATAGGCACCAACTATTATAGAGTTACATTAACTCAATTACATTTACTTGAGAAAGTTTTTTTGAAAAACAAAAAACTTTTAGGAGTATTTTTGACTATTTTGTACTTTTTACTTTTTCTTGAGTAATTTTACTATGAAGTATCATTTCTCTTACTTGAGTAAAATTTCTGGCTTTTCTACCCACTGAATGACAAACACGTTTTAAACAAAAATGCACCAGACACAGACACACACCTCCAATTTGAGTTATAGTTTAAGTTTTTATTGAAAGGATCTGATTTGGAAAAAATTATTTTGCCTGAATTCGCTATTTTTTTGTCAGTTATTTGAATTATTGTCATTTTCATCCAATACCAAAATGTTCACTTCATATTTTGGTCCATTTGATTGTGTTTTTTTTATATATTAAATGACTATCAGTTACTGAGTACTTGAGCAGACTTTTTACCAAATACGTTTTACTCTTGAGTAATTTCTTGAGTGGCTGCTTTTTACTTTTACTTAGAAGTGCGACTTTTACTTAAGTCAATTTTTTGGGTACTCTGCCCATCTCGGTTCTATTATTAGTCATTAAATTATTAATTAAATTACATTGTATTATATTTGAATATAATTTAAAAGGAAATTAATTGCTGTAATCCAGAAACTCAATATCACACACATTTATGATTTATTTCAAATGTGTTATTTCTGTCAGTTTTGAAGATAATGGCTCAGCGAAAGAGAAAAAAAGAATTTAGTTAATTATTGTAGAAATTATGGTCTTCTGAAAAGTGAGATCTTCTCTAACCTGTATAGTAACTCTGTACTTGGTCAACGTTTCTTTTGCATGACTTCAAAGATGTTTTGTTTCCACATTTTTCCTTCCACTCAACTTTCCATTCCAAAGCGTTTGTAGTTTTTTGAGGTTGCGTTCTCACTAAAACCAGGAAGATAGAGCACATAACACTAGTTTTAAAGTCCCTCCACTGGCTCCCTGTAGCTCAAAGAATAGACTTTAAAATACTGTTGTTAGTTTACAAATCACTGAATGGTTTAGCACCACAATACATCAAAGTTCTGCTGTTGTTGTATCAACCTTCCAGACTCTCAGGTTCTGGTTCTGGTTCTGCTCTGCATCCAGAACCAGAACCAAGAGAGGAGAAGCAGCTTTCAGCATCTATGCACCAAAAATTTGGAACAAACTTCCAGAAAACTGTAAAACAGCAGAAACCCTGACTTCCTTTAAATCTCAACTAAAAATACACCTGTTTAGAATTGTATTTGAAATGTAATATGTAACAATGTATTGTTCATTCCATGATGCATGAGTTTGTGTTTTTGTGTTTATGATGTAAAGCACTTTGAAATGCCTTGCTGCTGAAATGTGCTATACAAATAAAATTTGATTGATTGATTGATTGATGACAACATAGTACCTCTGGATTAAAAAGTAACATTTTTATTGGTCTTATGTAATATTCAAATAAACTGTAATCTCTGATGATCAAAACAAACAGAAATAAATGCTCCAGTGCATCACTCCGTTTTGAATAATAATTTTTTTTTTTCTGAATGAAGACCTATATGTGTTACTTAACCGCATTTATTTGATTTATGTGACAGAATCAAACTGAAACAGAATAATGAAGCTCTGGTATGCAGGTAAAAAAAAAATCAGCTTTCGTTACTCTTTCAGTGGAAAAAACCCACACATTTTCTGCTGACATGTTGCCACTGTCACTACCTGGACCCTCCCTCCCCCCGTCTCACCTGCACAAACTAAAAGCTGCCGCTCACAGCTACAGGCGCAGACTTGTCCTGTTAAAATAGCTGAAAGTCATTCCGAGAAAAAAAACAAAGGAGGTGTATGAATGAATTACCTGTAAAACGTCTCATTAGCAATGACACATTTCCTTCAAGTGAGGATGATGATGGACACCACTCTGGGGAAATGGATAAACTTTTACATATCACATCGATGGCAGCTATGAACTCTGAAAACAAGCGCTTTTAAATTATTCAGAAGACATAATTAAGTGCTAAAAATACTAGATAGTAGATGAACAAGTGTATTCAGGTGTAAATTGATGCTGTCAGTGTATTGTGCTTATCAGGACAATGCAGCTCATTGTTCTACTCTTATTTGTTGTTCTGTTCTTAACTTTACTTCTTCCTCATCATTGTGCATTGCTTTGAAACTCCAGCTCAGCTTTGCTAGCTTTATTTTACCGTGTGTGTGTGTGTGTGTGTGAAGCAGGTTTTTATGTCCTTGTGGGAACCCTACATCGTGAGGTTGTCGGGACCACTGCGTCTTGTGGGGACATTTTCTTGGTCCCCATAAACGGGAAATGTTGTTTTTGGGTGAGGGGTTTGGTTTAAAACTTTATGTGTGAATTGAGTTTTGGTTAGGGTTAGGTATGTGATGGTTAGTGTTAGGGTAGAAAATGAACTGAAGTCAACGTAAAGTCCCCATAAGATATGAAAACACGATTGTGTGTGTGTGTGTTCTCATAAGCCAAAGCATGTGTGATGGGCGGGCAGGGCAGTCTGCGGCCGCGGGGCACATGTTACTTGTTTAGTTTGGTTTTCATCAGCTCCCCTCTGTGTTCTGTTGTTTATTCTCCCCCACTTCTTTTTTCTTTGCTCTGTCTCTTATCTTTTTATCTCTTCTTTGTCTCTCGGTTCCTTTGCTGAACTCTGAAGTAGTTTCTGCGTGTTTAAACAGCATCTCTTTTAATCCCAGTAAAGCTGAGCGACCGCAGCGCTCTGACGCTGTGTGGAAGTAGGCCCGTCACAATAAATTGATCCAGAAGTTATTGCGACAATTGATTATATTGTTTTTTTGAGACAATTTTTAAGTAATTTTACAGTAATAAGAAAAGAACATGTTCTCAAAGATCAGTAAACTTTAAATTCTAATGAGCATAAATTAACCCTGAAACTAGACGACAATTTTAAATATCCAAAACAACAATTAAAGTTAATTAAGTCTCTGTAAACAAAATTGCCCTTCAAAAAATGGTGAGTTGAGACCGCAGCTCCAAACTTAAGACTTTTATTATCCAGTTTTTGGTAGAAAAAGAGAAAAAAATTGATAATCAATAAATCATGCCAATAGAAATTTCTGGCTTTCTTTTAATTTATTATGTGATTAATTACTTTCCTGATTATTGTGTGGAAGTTCCCAATTTTTATGTCACATCCCCAAATCAAACAGATTCCTCCCAATTAATATCTGATTGACATTATTAAGAATAATTGCAGCCTCACTCGGATCTAGGACTGAAACGAATAATCAGATTAATTATGATGAATCTGTTGAAAAAATAATTGGAAATTAATTTATAGGACTCTCAATGCATGCATGCAATTAATCTTGAAATTTTAAATGATATTACGTAACTCAGATGAATCAAACTATTATTCGGGTTTTTCCTAGAAAACCTGCTGAGCCTGGTTGTAGGATTGCTAATGTAGCTCACTGTCTTTTTAAGTTGGATATTAAAAGGAGGTGCACAAATTGGCATCATAATTCGGAAATAAAATCATCTGATATCAACGGGCAGATGTATTTATTTTAATCTTTTTATCCATTTCTAATATTGTATAAAAAAGTCTTTAGTGGTTAAATGAGAAATCTGCAGAATGCCAATTCTTTTTAGCAGATTAACCAACTAATCGACAAAAATAATCAGTGACTCATATGATTGTTAGTTGCAGTCCTAGTCAAATCACAGCAGTTGGGTTTCTGGGTTGCTGGTTTTGTTTATCTGGGTAGCATTTATGAGAAGAGCTGAGCATTTTCGTAATGGTGGAGGGATTCAGATTGATCCATCTTCAGGAGACTGGATCATGTTGTTCCTGCTAATGTCGGTCATTTGCTAAAACTCAGCTAAATACTGCTAATCCACCGAAGCATTGTTCCGTTCGAAAGAAGTAAATATTCTCACTTTTCAGTATAAGTATCAGAAACTTCTCCTGAATTGTTTTTTTTCCCTTTCAGGGTCAAACTGTTTCTCTCCAGCCCTTGCCCAGATTACAGGAGGTTCTGTACCAGTACAAACCCTTGCAGGTTGAAACCTACGGACCTCCAGCACCTGACCTAGAGCAACTCAGCAGATTTGGGTATGAATTTGTCTTTTATTTATTTATTTTTTTTCCAGTTTTGTTGCACATCCAGGGACCAAATCCGATTTAGTTAAAGAAGATAATTTTGGATCAAGGGTGTGCAAGCTGCAGTTTTTGTACCTTTCACAACATCTCTTAATAACTCTTTCTAAAAATTAAAAAGAGCCAATGAGTATTTATAAATATAGATGTGATGACAAACGCAGGTTTAGCAGTTTTTCAGGTTTTTATGAAATTATCGCATTGAATTGCAACGACTGAATGATTCTAAAAGTACCAGTAATACATTTTTGGATCTATTTTTCTTCTATCATTATTGAAAGTGTTTTTTTTTTTTTACATAATTCCAGGTATATGAATAATATACAATATATGAATGATATATCAGCACTAACATCGGTATCAGCCGACTTTAGTCATTTTTAGTATATCAGTATCGGCCCGCAAAACAAAGATTTAACAACCCATATTTCTTTCCATCTTGTTGCCGTTTATTCTTGGTCGTTTTTCCACCAATGGTGTCGAAACTGTGGAGAAATATATTATTTGGTATAAAATCGGGAAATATTGGTTATGGGCCATAACAGCAGTATTGATGTCAAATATTGGTATCATCAAAGCATATCGCTGGATCCGTACATAATTTCCACAATTAAGGTCACTGAAGAAAAGTTATAAATTTTTTTGTGGTTTTTTAAAAATGGCAATAGATTTTCTATTCATCAAAAATTTAAAGTTGTAATTTTTCAAAAACTCTTGGTAAATTTGTTTCTAGAAACAAATTTAATTGAGCTACATTGAGGACAAAATTGTAATTTTGGATTTTAAAGGTTATAGAAGAACATGTTGACAATTTTCCAAAATCAGAGATCTTTACATGGCCAATAAACCAGATTTTATTTATTTATGAAGTTTTTAATGTTATTTTCCTTCAATTTCTTCAGCTTCATAATTCGTACTTGAAGTAGAAAATTTTTATTTTACCTGCGTTCTGTTTTATTTTCAGTTTTATCTATCTGATAACTTTTGAAGATGTTCACAGCATGTATTTGATATAATTTGGTAATAATGTCAAGATAGATTAAAATTGTATTATTATTTTTCACAAACAGGTTTTGAAAAAGAAGAAAACAAGTAATCAGTAATTCGAGATAAAATGTGGATACATCACCAGGAAAAAAATAAATAACTCACCACTACTTTTCTGTTTGAAAATTAGTTGGAAGAAGTGAGCATTTATTTAATCCTACCCCTTATCTCAATTTAATGAAATATATTACTTACCAACTCAATAATTACTAGAAATTGTGTTTTGACATTTTCTTTGGTCAGTTTCAATTTACAACAAATTTCTCTTTGGAAACTTCTTGAAAGTTTCTTATTTTTATCTTTTCAGGATCTAAATTAGCAGCTTATTGTCATTATGCTTATGCATTAATATAGGAATCTATTTCTCTGCAGGGTCCCTGCTTTGCATAGAAAATAATTTCAGTATGCTGAAAGGTTTCTCCTTTGGTAGCCAGAACGACCTGAAAGCAGATAATTATGTTATGAAATCGTTAAAATGTAAACACAGTTTATATATGTTGTTAATGTTATGGTATTGTGGTGTATTCCTTCCTTAAGTCATATCTGGGTCATAAATCCATGTTATATGTTAGTAATGTTGTTTGTTTCTCTCCAGCCAGAAACAAACAATCTGTCAAACTTGTGGTTCGTGAAAATTTATTAACAATTTTCTCATTAATACGTTGCAAGAACTTAATGAACAAATCGAATAAAGATGGTCCAATTACCATATTTCTAACTGATCTGACAGAAACAATGTCAGATCATTGTTTCTGTCAGAACATGAAGTGAGAAGATAATACCTTTTAAAGTTAACGTGGTGTAAAACATCAATTAATTACAAAAACAAAAACAAAGCTTTTACCCCAATGAAAATTGTCCCAGAGCCAGACAATTCTAATTTCAACAAGGACACACAGCAATATACAGTTTTACATGAAAAACCACAGTATTTGTTTTTAGCTTTAAAAGCACGGAGCATGCTCATCTTCAGGCTAGTTGCTAAGAAAATTCTGCTGAAGATGAGCATTGCACCACACCTTTTAAACACACACTTCAGTTATTTGTACTTCAAGGTCTAATAAGGAAGTATGCAACGTTCAGAGCTAAAATGTTAATATTAAAAGGACACTATTATGTGTATTTGCTTCCATTTTATAACTCTTACTGTGTTACTTTCAGTAATTATAAAATTGCTGTATACATCAAAGATGAGTTAAAATAATTTTTCTTTGCAATTAAACCCCTTGAAACTGGGCCTCTGTCACTCTCTGCGCTGAATTATTGTGCAGGGTTGGTGACCAACGTGTCGCATATATGGGACAACATTGTGTCCAAAAGTCTGCAACATAGTGATGTGACATCCGAGTCTTCTGAACTTCTCTATACTAAGATACAACTGGAACCTCACTGAGAGCCTTTCTTTGTTCTTGTATAGCAGTGTAGCTACACTGCAGTAGCTATCATTATTTTATTGATATATATTTAATTAGCAAATAAATAAAACACAAGGACGAAAGAGCATGCAGAGCATGGGCATTGCACTTTGATTTTTTTTCTTTCAAAGTGACAGCTGTAATGTCTGCCATGATGGTAGACATTACAGCATTGTGCTGCCGAGCTTCATGCAGTGGGAGAGAGTCATGATGGTACTTGTGCTTGGTTATTTCTTGCTTGTTGCTCTTTGGTCAGTGTTCACAGTTGAGCGATGTTGGCCGTCAGGGCATTGCCTCAATTGCTATGTTTAATGGTGCAGTCAGTGGTGATTTCTGGCATGAATTATATGGGTAAACGTTTTAGATAAGCAGAACAAAGAGTTTGTTTTGCTTTTGATATTTGTTAAATTTATTTCAGCTTTATGTATTTAATATCTAGGTGTTTTTATGGGAATGTGAATCTTTCAGATCAATTTGATGAACACATTTCGTTGTATCATGGATCGCGGGGCGCTGGTCTTGGCTCGGTCTCGGGTTAGGTGGTCTTAACTACAACGTTGGTACTAAGATATTTTCACTGTTACATAGACCAAAAATACTTGGTAAGATTTTGTGTTTTTGCAGTTCATGCTATTTATGAACATTGAAATTGTGGAATCTGTTGATCTTGGAGATCTTCTGGGATCTGTGCAGCTCATCAAGTCTGGTCCATTTCATTCACATGACTCTCCTCTGATTAACAGAGAAATGGAGAGAAACATGTGGCGGCGGTAGCGAGGAAGGGAGAAAGAACTATCACCCCCGCCACAAGCCGCCACGGTGCATCTGTATCAGGGTCCATTAACACACACAGGAAACGCTTTCCCCGACAGCCCCTTTGGGCCAATCAATCCAGGACGCCATTGGTCCCGTCTCTCTGAGTGTACGCTATCCATCAGACAAACCAGCGCCCGGTCGTCTGCAGTCCAACTGCTTGGCACTACAGTTTGCCCACACACCGAGAGGGAACAGCTTTTATTGGGTGACACAGACAAAATGGGGTTTGTTGTTTCAGATTGCTTCTTCATTCTGAAAGGATTCACTTCAGATGTGAATATTTAAGCAAGATGTCTGCATTGGTTACTTAGATAAAGGTTTTAATGAGTTTATCCCTTTTTCTTTACCTCAAAAAGGATGAATGTCTGGTGAAACATTTCAATTTGTCTGTCTTAAGCTGTTTTCGCCTGATATTTTTGATGGATTTGGTTTGATTGAGAACTAAAACTACAACATTTGTTTAATTTTCAGACTGCATCGAGTCAAACAGTCCAAACTAATCGAAAAACCTGTTCCCCTCCTCCCCTGTGGTGATGCAGCTCTGGAAAAACACAGAATCCTACCAAATAGTTGTGTCTAGTTTCTAGTGGAAATATCTCAGTACACTTGAAATGAGACATAACTAACTTACAAGTGACTTTTCAACAAGATTTGTGGGCTTATTTTAAGTAAATAATTCCTTGATATTCATTAAAAATAGTACTAATTCTACTTACAGGTTATTTAACTTATAATAAGATATGGAGCTAGTACTACTTCATCAACATCCTGACACAATTGATATGTCTTATTGACAGTGTCCTTTAGTTTGTTGAATAGGGACTTGTAAGGTACTTTCGTCTTATTTCAAGAGTCCTGAGATATTAGCAGAATAAACCAGACCACAAATACTTGGTTAGGTTTTGTGTTTTTGCTGTTTGAACCAAAATACATTGAAGGAAATTGCGCAAAAACCTCCAGAAAAAGCTTGAGCTCAATTCAATAAAGGTTGTGGGACTTTCTTTGGTAAAACACCATGAGCCATTTCTCCCACTAGCTCTAGCCTCGTTTGTTTGTATTGGTTGTTTTTACGCAGAATTCCTCTTCCTGGTTTTGAAACAAATGTTCACTTCAGCCAAACTGAGATCTCGGTTTTTGGGTAGACCTGAGTTCACTTTTTTGATTTGCATCAAAGTTGGATTACGTATTCACACCTCCCCAAATGAACCAAACTCTAAACAAACGGTCTGGAGTTCAGTTAAAGCGGACTGAACCTGGCTGGTGTGAATTCACCCTTATTTACATGATGTATTCAGAGAAGTGCTGAGGTACTGCTTCTTTTGGTCAGGCTAATCAATATGCAGATGAAACACATCTTGCAATTTTGCTGCATGCCAAAGCTCAAAGTAGGGAGGAAGAGGAGAGGGGCCCCTTGTCAGCAGTTCGGGGGTCCAGAAGGACCACTGCTGGAGAGGAAGGACTACAGGCTACAGAGATAAATGAGGAACACCAATCCCTTTGGTGAAGGAAACAGGCAGGGACACGGACAGGCTAGTTCAGACAAACCACAAGTCCCAAGATGCATTGTTCTGTTAAGTAAGAGCAAGAAATACTGCTGACATTTCTGCTCACACTGCAGATTCTGATTCAGCTTGGTTTGACCTTTTGTTAGATACACAGATAAGTGAGCATGTAGAC